TGTGCCCACCCCCACCGCCACCCCACCCCACCCCCACAGATTGCTGCATTCCAAGTCGCATTGCGACGGCCCCAGGTATAGCTCTCATGTTCAGGAAGTGACACTCAAGTGACCCCCCCCCACCTTAAGACAGAAAGAAATGCATAAGTGATCGTAATGTGGCCGGGGTGTTGGGAGTTGACCCATTTATGGGTTACTCTGGATGGTGAGCTTGAGTGCAGAGGGTTGTTCCAATACCTTTCCTGCATAATGCTCACTTCACTCACTGTGGCAAGTGTGGGAGTTAGGTTCTCAAAGTTGTAGCATATGAGGGAACATGAAGCGCCCTATATAGGGTATAGGAGAGTTGGGCGGGGGGCAGCAGACACAGTTTAAAGGCAGGCCCTCTGCCCCCCACCAGTCCTCCCTTGATAGCACCTGATTTTGCGGAACATGGAGACCTGCCTGGTCGGGTGAGGCCACGCCGGCACGGAGCTCTAAACCCAGTGTCCGCCGTGCCCGGCCTCAGACAGACTAAACACCCTCCGCCGTCCCTTCCTGCCAGACCTGACTAGAGGAAGACAGAGCAGAGAACACAGGGCAGGCTAAACAGTGGCACACAGATGGAGAACGGATAGGGGAGATCATCAGGCAGTCAGGCACAAAACAGAGAGCAGGCACAGACCGGGATTGTGTGTGTTCTGGGGCGGGGGGGGGGGGGTAAATAAAGGCCAATTCATGCATCATCGGCGATCTCTCCGGAAGAAATAGAGGATGCCTTAAAAAAGAGGTTTTATAAGTGAGAGAAATGTTAAGCGTGTCACTTCACTGGAAATGGGAAGTGGAAAAAGGGAAACACGAGGCTTCTAAAAGTATCGAATGGCCTGCCCCCGAAACACCACGCCCCCCCCCCGGAGGAGAGTGCTGCGGCTTGGACTGCCCAGGGGGGTGTGAGCGGGCCTTTTGATATTAGCAATGCCGTGGGATGTGCTGAAGTGAATGAAAGCAGACGGGAGCCACAGGAAGGCTGAGGGCAGGTGCATCATGGGACTTGCTCTGTGGCTGCCACTGTTACTGGGGAAACCGCGGTAACAATCAATAACCCGCACTTGGATAGGCAGGGGGATTTTCACAATTGTCACATAAACAGACTGCACTTGATGCCACTATTTAAAGTGATGGTGTCCTCTTTATCAGTAACATTATGTTCTTAGGCGTATTAAATGATCTCGGTCAAAATGTCCATTCGTAGTATCGTGTTATAGCTGGAAAAAGACATTCCGTGAGAAACCATTCAGTTCCTATGCGGAACAAGCATCACAAGAAACCAAAGGAATTCACAGCCCTGGCTGAGGGGCTTGTCACTATAGCTACAGTAGTGAGCATGATTACTCACACACATTCTTACTCGTGACCACCCCCCCACCCCCAGTTCTGTGGAATGGAGGACGCCTGTCCCTCATTCCTGGTATTGCGTGTCAATTATGGGCTTGGTCTGCTGCTCACAGAAAGTTTGGATTTCCCAGAAAGAAAAAAATTAAAACGGTTAAAAACAGATAAAGAAACAAAGCTTATCCTGATGCTAGCTGAACAATCTATGGGTCACTCTGCATGACGAGCCCCTGAGTACCCAGGGCTGTCCCAATACCTCTCCTGCTCAGTGTTCACTTGGCTCATTACTGTGGGACCTGATCAGCTATGTTTTGCCATCCTGACTAAACTGTGTCGATTCCTGTCCAAAGCCCATCGCTCAAACCCATGTCCACTGCTGCCCAACACGCCCCTGTGTCATTCATCTCCGTGTTTGACTGCAATCAGAGGGTTTCTTACATTTCCTTACCTCTTTGTAGCGTTTAAATTGGGAGGTTACACACTACTGTAACCAAAATGATCTACTACTCTTGAACTCATGGAATTACTTGTTTTACTTGGCAGTTTTACAGACATGACTTCCCCCCCCCCCCCCATCTGAGACCTGAAAATGCCCACTGACCCCTTAACATCCACTCTCAGTCCAGGTCACTTCCGGATCCTTCCTTTGGCCATGCGTGTCCTGCCCTGACACAGGGAATATCCGCGGCCTGTCATCCTGCCACCGTTTAGTCAAACCTCGACGGGATTCGGACTCCAGTCACCATCCGATATGGGGGGCTGGAGATTTGCCGGCAGGGTTTCCTTAGACAGAAGAGCCCCAGACGTTAAAAAGCGATTCCTCTGCACTCCAAAAGGTTGTTGGAGGCTGGTTAATCGGACCCCGGGCCCAGAGGCTCCGTCAAGCCCCCACCCCGCTTCTTACGACAGAGTAGGACTACCACTTGATAAAGGGATCATGTTTTGCTGTCAAATGGAAATTCGTAAGATAAATACTGGCCAACATCAGACGGCGTTAGTGGAGGTCGAAAAGGGCACTGAGAGCCACAGAGCCAGAAGTTGTCAGCTGTGCGGCTTTTCTGGGAAAAAGCTCGTGTTTCAAGCAAAATGAAAGCAAGAGGAGAACCGTGAGACAAGCAGACAGGCAAGAATCGGTTCGCAGGTGAGAGAGACGGTCACGTCAGCGCAGAGCCAGAACAACTGGTGCCGCGAAAACCATCACCGCAACGTTAAAACGTACTGAGGACGGCTGGGCGATGGAGGCATCTGGAAGGGCTTTTGCAGTACGTGTGTGGCCCGACCAAGAATGCGCAGACACGCAGGCAGTCAGACGCACAGGAAAGTAGGCTGCCTAGGCACGCAGACACACAGCTGCAGACATGCAGACACACAATTGCAAGCACGCAGACACACAACTATGAAATGTTTACGGGGGGGAGGGGGAGGTGGGGGGGGGGACAGAAAAAACATCCTCCAAACCCAGGCAGCGAGGCCTGGCACGGTGAACGTGCCGTAAGGAAGCGTGCAGCAATCTGACTAAACTCACGGCCAGTGGGCTTTCAAAGGGGGTAGGGCCTCATGCCGCCCCTCCCAGACAGCGTTACCTGAGGGGCTCTGGGTGGCCGACTGAGCAGAGCCGGAGGCAGTGCTGGCAGTGACTGAGTCACAGCGACCTGTGCTGCCACTGGAGGGTGGGGACGGTGACGACAGGGGGGAGGGGCCTGCAGGCCCGGCACAGTGGGCTACCGCAAAGCCTGCAAGATACAGAGATAGAGATCAGGGCGGAGAATGACTCTAGAACATTCCTTCCCTCCTTGTGCTGCTGCGGAGGCAGGCAGCACTATTCCCATGCCAGCCCTGCCATTAGCAGGCCTCCGAGCGTGACACCTCTCCCCGGCAGTGTGGCCACGGAGGACAGCAGCCGGCCTACATTCGCTGATGGCAGCCTTCCAGTAGGCTTCTCAGAACCTGCCTGAAGATGTTGCGCACAAGGAAATCCCGCGCATATAACCGAAACTTGCACATTAGTCAAAGAACTCCCCCCCGCACCCCCAAGGACTCCCCTGCCGCAACATGACTGTGCGCCACAGCGCCACCTGTGGCACAGAGCTGTCAGCATGCTAACAGAACTGAAGAGAAAAAAAAGGCAACTGCACGGGGTCCTAAACAGGTATTCCAGTGCTCTGGAGCCCCCTACATAGAACCAGTCACCTGCAGTGACTGGCCAGCAGAATGGAGTCCAGCTGGTCCAGGGAAACAGAAAACCACCAGACAGGGGGGGGGGGAGGGCACGTCTTCCCCTCTGAGGGCAAGACGCTGAATGCTGGCTAGATGAAAGCACAAGACATACATTTTTCTATGTGAACTATAATTTTTCAAAAAGTGATGGATTGTCCCCAGGGGGGACAGACCCTCAAGAACAGGAGGATAAAGTTTAAACTGGGACTTCAAAAGAATGCGAACAGTACAGAGGAAATCGCCAGGGCTTCTACCTGCCACACCTTGCAAACGGCCATTTCCATGACGGCCAAAATAACGTCTAACAAAACGTCACATGAGTAGGCTCCCATTTATCATTGCCCACACCACATGGAATGTGATTGGACGAGGGCTAAGGGCTCTGGTTCAATTTTCTGCTTGGCTGATTGATTCAGAATAAAACTGCTTTTAATGCTGTTTTTCCCCACCTTACTGGTTGGCAGTCAAAGTGAACTCCTGTCTAACTACTGGGGAGTCACTGCTGAGTCACCTTGGTTACCTGGAACCTTGTCGACGGAGGTGAAGACGGAGCGTGTTCCGGGGGGCTCGCAAAGGCCACGCCGAGACTGGTCGTAGAAGCGGAAGGGCAGCTGCTGTGCTGATGTCTGGCTGAAGCCCAGCACAGCTTCCGAGGCTGGCTGGATGGGTAGGTCCAGGAGAGCTGGGGGGTAAAGATTCGCCCACTCAGACCATATTGCATTCACAGTCAAAGAACTTGTTCTCGGTAAAGACTCGCTTGGTCAGACCAGACGGCAGTCTGTCAAAGAACTGGTTCAGTAAAGACTTACATAAGAACATAAGAACTATACAAACGAGAGGAGGCCATTCGGCCCATCGAGCTCGCTTGGGGAGAACTTAACTAATAGCTCAGAGTTGTTAAAATCTTATCTAGCTCTGATTTAAAGGAACCTACTCGTGAGACTACTCGTCTGTTACGGACTGCTTGGATGGAGACTCACCGGCTATACGTTGCATCTTCATGCGCCGGGCTTGGATGCGGCCCTGGGCCAGCCGCTGCTTGGCTATGATGCAGCGGATGTGGTCGGCGAACACGAAGCTGGCCTGCAGGATGGGGAACGGCTTAGCATGCGGGTTGGACGTGGGCTTGTGGATAGTGATGTTCAGGGCTCTGCTGTCGTCCTCAACGCC